GTTATTAGTTTTAAAATCATTGAATTTCATTTTTCCCCAAGCCAGAACTTATTTTTCTTTAATTTTGGAAATAAATTTGCAGTCGAAAACTGTCAATTGGTCAATGGACGAAATTCAATCAGATTTAAATTTTCCTGGTTAACACTGCATTTTTTTGGCATGATAGATAACTAAAATATTCACTAAATTTAATAGTAAATATATTGAAAAAAAGGTAGCCCACAACTACACAAAAATCTGCATGAAGCCAACCGAAGTACAAAAAAAAAATCGATTGTTATATTTTTCAAAGAATTTACAACAAGTTTTTTGAAGCTGTTTCCGAAATAGGGTACATACCGGCTGAGACTGCTACTGCTGTCATTTCTAAGCCGACAGCCGTTAAAATTATTCCAGTGACAGCTCATTATATTGTTTACAAGCGTACATTTTGGTGAGAATTTTCGGGAAACAAAAAGATATTCGTGATGGAATTCAAGCGTGATGGCGTGATTTCTTTATATTTGGCTGGAAAACCACAAGTTACTGGTAGCGTAGCCAGACGTCAAGGATGTGGACGGAAGAAAACAGCAACATCCGCAAAAATGGTTCGAAAATTAACGAAACGACTTGATCGAAACCCACAACGCCGTGGCCGAAAAATTGCTCGTGAGCTGGGCATTTTTCCATTCGGCAAATATTAAGAAATGAGCTCGGGATAAAGTCATTGAAATTACAAAAAGTGCAAGAACTTACACCGCAACAGGCGAAATGCCGAATATTATGGCGAAAATATTCTGAAGGGTGTATTAAAGCCTTGGGCACGCAAACATTTTGGCCGCAGACCTTGGACATTCCAACAAGACTCAGCACAAAATGAGGTTCCTTGCTTCATTTCCAGCGCACAATGGCCACCAAAATCTCCGGATACCAATCCGTTGGAATATTGTGTCTGGAGTATTTTGAAAAGCAAGGTTGGCACTAAAAAATACCAAAGTGTCGATCACCTCAAGCAAGCGCTTCGAAGGGAATGGGCCAAAATACCGCAGAGCAACATTCAACTGCGTTTGGCGGTTTCATTGGCCGTTTGAAGGCCATAATTCGTGCCACAGGTGACCACTTCGAACAAAGCTAAACTTATTCTAAAATTTGATGCTATTTCCGACATTTTTTGCTTTCATTAAATAAAATTAAAAAACAATGTAAAAATGATAGCATTTGACTTTGTTGCAGTTTTTTTATCGCACCGTGTATGTGCAATTATCGCCCCAAAATTTCCTTCTGGCAAAAAAAAAAATCAAATATGTTTTTTTTTATATTATTTCTGTTAATTTTAATTTCCTCCCATATGACTTCATGTATAAAAATATCTTTATTTTGTTGATTATTGCAGTGTTATGTAAAGAAAACATTTCTCTTATTGCCCATCATAATTTTCATAACCTTTATGAACTCTACGTTTTTTATTTTTGTTTGTTTTTTTCTTTAGTCTAACTTTCTTGCCATTTTTTTATATGTAGATAATTAAATGTAGTAAAAATAATGTTTTTCCTTATGGCATGGCAATAACATTTTTAAGTGCAACAACTAATAAAACCTGTTATATATATTTTTTTCGTAATGTTTAATTTTCTCAGACATTATCATTGCTCCGACCAAAGAAAAAATAAATGTAATAATTGTAAACAAATTTTCACTTGCTTTGCGAAGCTAAAAAAGGGGGGAAAATTAAAGAAAACAAACAACAGTTTATTGGTCATGCTCTTAAAGGCGGTGTGAAAATTTTTTTTTGCAGGGTGAAATTTTTTTTCGAACTTTATAAAATATAAATAAAAAATATTAATAAAAATAGAAATTAAGGAGTTAAGCGAACAAAATGGTGGGATAATAGCTAAGGGACTTTTTATGAAAAGGATTATTTGATATATCAAGAAATGACTCACTTTCGGTTGTCTGGTTTGTAAGAACGTGGAATGCCAAAAAAAGACAAATATGCTGTAAATTGAAAATATTTGTAATGTTTTCAAATTTACAGAAATGTTAACTTTTTTTAAGAGGAAATCGCTACAATAAAATATTTTCTTTCAAATCTTAAGGATTTTTGGTCAAAAAAATGATAATTTTCAGTGGGGAAATGGTAAAAATATTGATGTAAATCGTGACTAATACACATAGAATAAATATACCGAGAAAGTCTCTTAACCTATGTTGAAACTTATAGGAAGGAGAGTGGGTGGTTTGTATCTACATTCTTTACCGAAAAAATAAAGAAATATGAAGATAAAAATAAATAAATAAAAGTGGAAATTCTACTCGTACAGACAAATCTTTATTCTGGGGCATATCAAGACCTTAATTATTATGACTTGAATTTTGAACAAGAATATACAAATATACTTGTGGGCTATTGGAAACTTCTAAGAACTTAACTACCTTAAATAACTGACTTTGAAAAAAATAAATCGCAAGTGTTCGACATGGATGAAAAGAACAAAAGACTTAGGGCAAAAACACCGCATGATATTCGCCATGACAGCAAAACGTAAAAATATACACTTTGAAATGAGTTTTGTTATACATTTAAAGGCATATAACAACTTAAAATGAGAACCCTTACATTTATCTGAGGGGAAAAAGACTTTGACTAAATTTGCCAAATGTGGAACTCAAACTTATTACGAAATTTAAGATTTAAATAATATGCAGGGTCTTTGGTACGAAAAACAATACTAAAAAATCACTTTTTACAGTATTTTCTGTTTCATGTAAAGGGTAAAGTGCTTAAAAGTGTACTCTAAAATTTTACCGATAGCAATACAGAAATACGCTCTTTGAGACCATCTAAAGAATTTTATAATCCTATGTGGCAGACTTTGACCTTTTTTCTTGATGGAAACCAAATACAAAAGTTACAAGCACCACGTGCTATAAAAATATAAATTTTGGGGAAATATGAAAGTTCCTTCTCGACCATTGCTATAGAAAGAAACAAAAGACTTAAGACACAAGCACCATACATTTATTTGAAAGAAAAATTTCCCTTTAAAATGCTTACGAAATATCTTCCCGTTTTTCAGGCAATTTTTCATAAGGATATTCTTTTTATATGTTAGGGCTTAATTAGAATCTGAGTTATTTAAGATATTGACAAACTATTGTTTTTATATCACCAAAGTTCTAGTTCAAATTAGGCCACTAAATTATTTAGGCATGCCTTTAAAAAAATCGCCAACACCAACATTTTATTTGGAAAAATTTCTGTGTGAAGTTGTTACGAAATATCTTCCCGTTTTTCAGGTAACATCTTATGATCTCCACTGTTTTAAGTTTTAGGAATTTTACCGATTTTTTCGTGAGCATTTTCTTGTCATATGTTAAGGTCATTCACTGCTATTTTCGGAAATTCACATCAAATTCTAATTAAAAAAAGTGAATTTTTTGTTTAGAAAAAATAATTTTTGTTTCGATTAAAATTCAAAAGGTATTTTCAAATCCATGACCCAGTCAATTAAATGAAATGAACCATGGGTCATATGGATCCCTCAAGGCAGTTCAAAATTATCAACATGGTTTCAGTGTCAGGAATAGCGAAGTGAACTGTACATCTCCTACACCCAAGTGCAAAAGAACACTTAACCTCGGTGGAACTCTCACTCTACTATAAATGCCCACCTAAATCTCGGCACAAAGAAAAACCGTAAGGGTTTCCATTTTTGTTAAAAACTTAAGAAGTTGGTCAAGGCTCAAACAGAAACATATTGAGGCAAGCTTTTATATTTTTTTTATTCAACAAAGGCATACTGCATTTTTATTTTATTTCCTATCTCAAACCAAAGTAAGAGATGCTTAAATGGAAAAAAAAATTCTAGCTTCTAGAAGAGGGATTTGATTGTCCGCAGATTTTTTGCACCAGAAATAGAGGTTGACCTTTTAAAGGGCCTATGTTCAAAGAATGCTAGAGATTAGCTTTTAGAAAATATAACTCAATTTCTCAATATAACTCAATATTTCTCAAGAAGTTTTTTTTTTTTTTTTTTTTTTTTTTTTTTTTTTTTGTTTGTAAGAATCTTTGCACTAGAAACATTTCGAAAGAGTAATGAAAAATATTTTTTTAAATTTCTGAGAGGTGGGTCCGCTCCACAAATTTGATTTGTTCTGTACCTTTCATGTAAGGACTGGAAATTGTCACTTTTGCTAGGAATTGGATTATTGAAAAATTATTTCCTTGTTTAAAGATATTTTTGATATTGGAATATTAGGGACATAATCCAGTACCATGATATATTTCTTGAAAATTATATGTAGAACCAAAGCTTTATACCAAATACTATTTCTTTTTTTCTGGAATTCTTCGATTTTTACCTAATTTTTTTTTTTGCTTATCTTGTAAACAATAAAGAAGTGTATATTCCAGATGGGTATTACAGTAAATATTTCAAATTATTTAAATTTAACGAAAATTCGGACTTCAGCAGAATCCTGAGAAAGTTGGAAATCTCAAACCACTGCAAATCAAATTTTTCACTGCTATTTTTATGTTTTTCTAAAAAATACATCTGTATTTTTAAAAAATCCTTGATTTTTTTTTTAAATTTTTATATTTTTCACTTGATTACTAAAAATTTGTAGCCAGTGAATTAGAGGGATTTTGGTGCCAATTGAGCCACCAATAAAGCTTTCACATGTGATGTCCTTTGGAATTGATCCTTATAACACCTTCTCGACAAATAGATGTAGGAATAAACTTATATAAAACTACACTGTTTAATAATGCTTGATTTCAAGCTAATATTCTGAATGTTGAATTTTTATCAATTTATAATTTGTAGTCCTTGGAAATGCATATTTTTTTAAGTCAGCGTAAATTTTCAGCAACTCCTACTGCTTATTAAATGTTCACATAATTCTGCATCATTTAATACTGTTATCCGGATAGGAATTTTTAATCCTTTTTTTAAGTTCAACATGCAAGGCCATTTTCTTTTTTATATAATTAAATATTTAGTTTTTAAAACACTCACTTTTCGAAAATTCTTCCAATTTTTTCACTTGGTTGCGGCTGCTGATAATCCAGAGTTTTTCTTTTATTGTTAATAATTTATTTCACTTTAATTGTTGGCGAAATATCCTTTCAAGCACCATATGAGAAATGTTTCAGAATTTATGTTTTGTTTTATATGTTCTTTTTACAAAGTTGCACTTATTTAGTATTATTTGATGTTTTTTTTTTTAATACTGCAACAATGTTTGGTATTTAAATTCTTTTTCACTGCATTTTTGTTTCTGAGGATACAATTCCTGTTTGATTTCTTCGATGAGTACAACGAATTATCCACAAAAAAATTTTTTTGGCTGCTTTTAAATACTCTGCAAACTCAATTGTTATAATGGGTCTCCTTTTTTGTGCTGAAGAAAATACAATATTGAACCACAAAAAAAATTGTTGATTTTTTTTTGGGAAGGAAAGCGAACTTGACCGTAGAAAGGTGACCGAATAACTAAAGTATTCTTCCCGACTCAATGTCGTTATATAAGACTGCAGTATTTTACTTTGGACCAGCACAGTCCCCGCCGTTCCGAAAACAGAAAGAAAGAAGAAAGACTTTTTTCTCGCGCTTACGCTCTGTGCTCTTTTTTGCAGCAGCAGAAGCAGCAGTTACAAAAAAATTGCTCAAAACTGCTTACGGCTTTAAATTGAAGATGCCGCTATTGTTACAGATGTCTGCCGCAATGCTGCTGTAGTTGCTTTAGTTAGAGAGTTAGTTGTTGGTGGTGGTGCTATTGTAGTTGCTGCCTCTTGCAATCATGCGCGTTGACTGTGCGATCACCTTGACAATGGCAATGCTTATGAATGCCAAACATAACTCTTTACAACAACTAAGCCAGTGAAAGAAGAAATCGGCCCCAGATAGCCAAGACGGCAAGCAGCATAAGCCAGCCAGCCAGCCAGCAGCAACAGCTTCAACAATCCACCACTGTTGGGTTGGGGTCTTTGAAAACTCTCATCGCAGTAGAAAGCATACCAGCGTACATTAACCACAGCTCACACTCTCATCCACAACACCATTGGCCGGGGGAATGGGGAAAGCTATGCCAAACAATTGTTTGTTGGCCAAACAATTGTGGCCAACGGCAAATCATCTTTCATTTCATTCATTAAAACACCTGAAAAGAAAACACTCAAGAGTAGAGAGTGCAAGAGAGAGAGAGAGAGAGCAGAAAAGAGAAACTATGAAAAAGAGCGCGCCATAAAGTCTGTGTCAGGGTTCCATGGAAATGTGGCTTTGAATCTCTCTACTTCTTCAGTTTTGGTCTAATGTTGTGTGGTTCGTTGGCCATGATGGTGGTTTATTCAAGGCACAAATGCTTTTTACGGAATTTTACTTTGGACCATCGTGTTTTTTTTTCATTTTTTCTTTTTAAATTTTTGGTTTAGATAACTGTTGAACTGAATGAATATATTTTATAATTACATTGGAATGTAGATATCAAAATTTTGATATTTAATAGGAAAATAATTTTGATATTAGAAATACATTAAAAGTTGGAGGCGTGTAGTTTCAATGTATAATATTTGTTCAGATAATGCCAAAACATATTCTATAGGAACTAAACTAACAAATTAAACCAAAAATATTCCAAATAATTTGGAAATAGAAGAAATATCCAAATCCACGAACTAATATTTTTGAATTGAAATGCCAGAATTTGTAGTTTGAAATACCAAACCGAAAGCATTTTTTAAACAGAGGCTATAGTTAGACTTTTCAATGACAAATCACATTATCATGTAATTTTGTGTTTATCAATCATTATAATACCCACAGCGGATATATCATTCGATACTACCAAAATATCTATCTGGCGGGGATCCAATTTGGTCCTAATATTTTTTTTGTCAAACTTAGATCAAGCTCGAAAATGGTTAGAAATATCAGACTACTTCTTCCTGTTGTGCCCTTCTCCCTCTGAAACATCTACCACAAATCGTCGAATTAAAAAATTCAGACTGCTTTCATTTCTAAGCCACTCGTCCGAAAGCTGTTAAAATTATTCCAGTGACGGCTTATTATGTACACCTTCGGTTGGCCACCAGAACTCAAGCCATGATGATGGTGTGGGCCGACATAACAGCCGATGTTCGCTCTCCGCTCGTATAAATCGACCCTCGTATCAAATAAATGCCGAATATTATTGCAAAAATATTCTGGAGGGTGTATTAAAGCCTTGGGCAAGCAATCCTTTTGGCCGCAGACCTTGGACATTCCAACAGGACTCAGCACTATCGCACTCAGCACGCGCCACCCAAGTATGGTTACAAAATGAGGTTCCGTGCTTCATTTTTAGCGCACAATGGCCACCAAAAACCTCCGGATACCGGATTCGTTGGACTATTGTGTCTGGAGTATTTTTTAAAGCAAGGTTGGCACTAAAAAATACCAAAGTGTCTATCACCTCAAACAAGAGCTTCGCCGGGAATGGGCCAAAATACCGCAGAGCAACATTCGTGCAGGGTGTAAAGGTTTCATTGGCGGTTTGAAGGCCATAATTCGTGACCAATTCGAACAAATCTAAACTTATTCTAAAATTTGATGCTATTTCCGACAATTTGTGCTTTCATTCAATAAAATTAAAAAAAATGTAAATTTTTGGCATTTGACTTTGTTACAGTTTTGGGCTTATATTAGCCATTTGGTTCACAATTAGCCTGATATCGGAAAAAGCTATATATACGAGCTATATCCTAATCTGAACCGATCTCGATGGAATTTGACAGAGGTGTTTTCGAGCAGTATCTGGTGTCCGGTGCCAAATATCATTCTTCTGAAGTGCATATTAGTGAGGGACTTAAAACTCCACATCGGATGAAACATATATATGGGCATTATAGCTATATCTGAATCGATTTTCTCCAAATTTTAATTAATTGCTTCTATATTGAATTCGGTAGGATGTATCAAATTACAGGTCATTTATATATATAGATATATATATATATATATATATATATATATATATATATATATATATATATATATATATATATATATATATATATATATATATATATATATATATATTTGACTTTGTTACAGACAAATCCGTGAAAAAATTTAGCAAAAATCATCAAAATACCAATTTTTAGACAAATCCGTGGAAAAATGTGGCAAATCAATTAAAATACCGAATATCGGGAGGTACCTTTATATGGGGGCTATACCACAACGTGAACCTATACATACAATGTTTTGCCACACGCTCAGGGACCCGTTATGACCTACAAATACCAATTTTCAGACAAATACGTGAAAAAATGTGGCATAAATTATCAAAATACCGAATATCGGGAGGTACCGTTAATGGGGACTATACCAGAACGTGGACTGATATATCTCATTTTCAATACCAACCATCCTATACACAATACAAATTGCTCTGCTAAATTTTGGCGCTCTACGTCAAATAATGTAGGCTGTATCGTGATTTCAACAGACAGACAGACAGACATCTTATAATTTTATGCTGATTATGAATATATATACTTTATGCGGTCTACGACGAATATTTAAGGATGTTACAAACGGAATGACAAAGTTAATATACCCTCCTTTCCAAGGTGGAGGGTATAAATATATGTAGCGCAAAATAATACAGTTTCGAAATGTTGTGACTTATTACAAATTTCCTTTCAAAACACTTGTATGGGTCTCCAGATTCTGAAAATGTATGCGTGTGCCATACTCCTCACGTTACATGACATTTGTCAACACAGGTTTGTGATTTGTGGAACTACTCTCTTAACTACTACATCAACCAAACGACTAATACACCCAGTTTGTTTACCAATTTACCTTAAAACTCAAAACGCTGTGTAATTTATGTTCTACAATTGTTGAAAGTTTGTTGCCATGTCCAGAGGTGGTGTCTGTCTGTCCGTCTGTCCGTCTGTCTACCTCAAATAATAGTGTTGACGTGTTACTCATGCAATTGAAAACCTATTTAATCATACATTTCTAATTGTTTAACTATGTTCTATGTTTTCTTCCAATGCTTTCCACTGCTTTTGTTTTCTGTTCCTGCTGCCTGCCTCTACAGCTCACATACGTAGTCTACTTTTATGCCCACATTATGGAAAATACTAGGTAGTGAGGGCATTTTATTTAATTGTACAAATATATTTTACTTCAGTCAGATTTTGTTGGTGTGGTTGTTGTACTGCCCGTACATTCAGACACCATCATCGGCATCTTTGAACCTTTCTATTAGTGTACATTTTTGCATTGTGTGATTACAAGTTTCGTTCCAATGACGTGCATACACGTGTTGTTGGTGTTGCTGCTTCTGTCGAGATTAATAATTTAAATAAATTACTACTATATATGTGCAATATGAAATGCCATATATGAAATAATTTGCTGTTTTTGCCGATGTTTGTACTAGAAATGTTCTCTGGGGAGAATCAGTTTTATTTTTTGTAGTTTTTGTTGTGTATTGTTGTATAAGGTAAAGAGATAGAAAGACTATAATAATATCTATAAAAGGAGTAACAATGTATTGGAATAGCCTAATTAGCAATAAGTTGTAAGTGAAGAAGTAAGACAAAATGATTATGACTAGTATTAGTAAAGAAAAGAAATTCGTAATAATTTTTATGGCAATAAAAAATGACAATAAAAGTTGAAATTGATTAAACATTAAATCAAAATGTCTCCCTCGAAATGTTTACTTTTTTTGACAAAATTTAGTTGGAGATGTGAATTTGCTACGAGCTGCACCAATTAACGGCTACAAAAAAGTTTCGAAATATATTTCCGTTTGGGCCGCTAGTGCAGGGAATAACCGATATATACTGGCAACTCCACTCAAAATTTTCAATGTGTTTTTATACCCTACGGGTATTATATCTTTGTGGTATTATATATTTGTAACATTAGGAATTTAGCGAGATAGACCCATAGATAATTTTTAGGATCTTCATAGAATCACTTTCTGAGTCGATTTGTACATCCCAGTCCGTCCGTTCGTCTGTCCCTATATTTTTGTGAACAAAATGCTGGTCACATTTATTATCTGATTCAGATGACATTTTCCATGTACGATTTGTCTGGCCCAAGGACAAACCCTATTGAAATTTATTAGAATCGGTTGACATTTAGATATAGATCCAATATATATCTTCAACCTATTTCGGTTTAATTGTGCACCAAATGGAGAATAT